CGTCTTTCCGCTACACGGAGTCGACTGGAATGTCGTCAGAGCTTGTTTCCGTTCCTTGCCAGTTTCTCAAGACCATATTTGTGTGGAGAAGGGAGTCTGAGGAAGGCACGCCAACCGTTTGGCCAGCTGCCAGGCTGGCGGACATGACGTGTGGGCACGGCCCACATGCGTTGTCAACACAGAGAAACCCAGGACCAACGCTTAAGAGGCGACACATTCGTAGCCTGCAGATTCGATCCTCCTTCTGTCGCCTTTCTCTTTGTCTAAAGAGTTAAATTGAATATGACGACTAAATAACCACAGAAGGATGATACTTTCCTGGACCAAAAATGTCACATTAAGAGATGCATTTTCGTAGATGGAAAATTTTACCCGTTTCTTCTACTAATTGAATAAAATCAGTTCAAGCAGGCTTGGCTACCACGTGTAGCCATGTGAAAAAGCCTTTTGTTATATACATCACTGAAATCGCTTTGGCTGATCGCTCGGAACTTATGTAGGGTTAAGGTATTGGATACATTAAAAGGGACTTTATCCGAGTAAACATACTCATTCTGGTAACGTTTGATACATCTAACACTGTGACTTAGAGGAAGCCAAGCATCTTAAGAGACCGGAAATCGACGGAAACCATACTTGTGACTTTCGCGGAAGAAAGCGCCCAAAGCGGAAGTAGGGATAGACTTCTAGTAAAACTTCCTGGTTTCAAAGTACGAACCAACAAGGTTGAACTTTCGCGTTTGAGTAGTATACATGGTGGCAAGGTTTAAAGCTGCATCGCGGAACATCCCTGGCATTAGGACTCAGATACAAAAAGTAAATTTTCTCACGGTCATTACGGTTACAACTGATCAACTTACACTGCCAAACATTCATGAAGTGTAGGTGCCAAAATATGAAGCATTATGAGTGTGTTTAAAAGCTTGAAACGCTTATGAGCCATGTTTGTTTACATTCTGATAGTTTGTGGTGGCACCACAAACTGAGTGCGCCTAATATGTGGGCTGTCTTAGCACCAACCAGAAATGTCAGAAATGTGATATTAGTACTGCACGAATATGTTGAAAGGTGGAAGCAAATCACAATCAAACGAATATTTTTGAGATGAAATATTTCAAATTTGGGTGGAGAATGTTACATATGTCTCAAATATGGGCAAGATTCTTCACTTCTGGAACCTGCACATTTTTATTCTATTCGCCAGTAGTACATGGATAAATGCGTTTTTTAAAAGAAATACAACCAGGTAGAGTCAAGATATCATCTACGTGTTGACTTAATGGTGGGCGGACCCTTTCTTTGTAAGGACAGAAAATGATGTATGGTTATGCTAATGAGATCACAGAGCAAACCCCACGCAATGCTGAGTGTGTACGGTTCCCGCCTTCCGGTGCCGAATCTGCGGCTGGCAACAAGCGACCAGCGTCAGCTGAAATCGACAGTAGAACAAGAATGGCTGGGCCAGGGAAGGATAGTGCGATCTCGCACTCCGACTTTCAGCGCTGCTTCCCGCTACTTGTCAGTTTCATACACTTCGTTTTAACATGTCTGCAGCTGGCGGGAGCCCAGGAGCAAGGTATGCCGTGTTCCGATTCCCTCTAACCGTCGGCGATCGCGAGAAATAGGCCCATCGCTTCTAGCAAGTGCATGTTGGTGTGTTTCGGTTTGTGCCAAAACACAGAAAGACAACTGGGGGGACTTTTGCAGCTGTTAGCCCAAAATAGCAACAATGGACGACCTTCAACGTCTGGTCGTCTTGATTATATTTCACCACATATACTCTAGATGGTTGATGATGTTGTGTCGTTTTTTGTATGTCTAATCATGTTGACATTTTTGTTGTCAGCTTTCGTCCAGACGGACTACAGAGAGCTGAGGCACATGGTTGACGGTGCTCCGTTACAGGTTTGCTACTCCGCTCAAATACTTCACATTTTACATCGTTTTGTGGTGTTTGGCTTCGGCTTACACTAGATCGCACCTTACTAGCGATGTAATGTAACGTATAGACTACTGTTCTGAAGAATATAGGGTGTGTTGATGTTCGTATTTAAGGCCAGTGCATGGTGTGTGTTGTCGCATACCAATGCGTTCAGGTCGGGACCCAAACCGCTACCGAAAACAGGAACACTCTTCGGCCTTGCGTCAAGATTTTGACCAAAAATAGCCCGAATTCCACCCAAACAACACTTGGTTCCGATCCAGGAACAACTGTTGGCCCACATTCATGGGGTGACACACACTCTACCCTGACGTGGACGACTCTGACTTGTGTTTATTGTTTATTTCCCTTGCAGGGGTCAGACGCACAGACATTTGGTGCAAGGTATGTATATATCTTCCCCCCTCCCCATTACACTTCCTGGTACACACACAACATACACCGTAATGCACACATAAACACTGCATACACACATTCATAAACCTAGAACTACACGAGCTTAGCACAAAGGTACTTATCTATAAACCATCAAAACAGAATTCCTGTAGATCCCATAAACAAGATAGATACAAGCCCGTAAAGTTTGGAATGGTGCATCAGGAATTCCAGGGCTAACCCCTTGTAAGCTCACGGTGTATGATGCGAAAAGGTCGGTATGTAAACTTAGTCTTCCAAGCACAACTCTGCTTGACCCTTCTTGGTGGTGTCCGATTTCGTACGTGTGTTTTGGAGGGAAAACCGTAAAAAAGCGTCTTCTACTCATAGGGATCTGCCATCTTTTTTTCTATCACAAGTGTAATATGTGGGTTTCATACACAGAATTTCTAATCTTGTGTTCCCTGAGTTTAGAGGATTTGAGATCAATGAAATGATCTGTTGTGATGTTATATATAGGGCTCAAAATACTAGGTGCATATGCACCTTATAATTAGTGAAGGTAAAATTGGAGCTGTGCAGGTATTTCTGATGATTACCTGCACCTAACCTGCACTGGTCCATGTACTGGGTTTACGCACAAATGTAGGTGTATGTGTATTTTCATTAGCTGTCATCACCTTTGAAATCACATATTAAAGAAATAATGATTTCTGAACAGTTTTTACCATGATCCATACTTCCTAAATTCTGAGTGGTGCAAGTAAAACTTGTCTGGTGCAGGTAATTTTCAATGTTACCTGCTCCAGTGCAGGTATGCAGAAAAACGTATTTCGAGCCCTGCAATGTTTTTTGAGGGGTTCCCTTCCATAAGAACCCAAACATGCTCACTCATGTGTGTAAGGCTTGCTTGTTTGCCTGAGGCTATAGTGTTACCTGGTTGGACAGGTTACTATACCCAGGTGAGACAATGGGAAGATTCACCTGAGATCATGTGACCAGATAAAGCTGGAATAAACTGCCCCTCCCCCTTCCTAAATTAGCTGCAGTATTGAAATTCTCATTAGGAAAAGTGTGTTGTTAAAGTAAATGAAAATGTTTTTGGTGGAGGAGTAAATATTTGGATATCAAATTTTTTGATAAACACTTTATATTGGATGCAATTTCTTAACAGCTGTTCGGTCACGTATGAGTAAATTTTGTGTCTGGTTAGATTTTGATCTTCCTGACGTTGATCACAATCTACATACATTGTAAATTATAACATTTTATGAAATACATACACTTGCTATGTCGACGAAGGTTAGACATTCGGGAAATGAAATACGTAAGGATTGTTACTGAAGCAAATGGATACATTTTTGAAAACTCAGACGTTTCAAGCAGCGTCCACTACTTTTTGTCAGTGACTAAGATTAAGAGTCCCAGTTCCTTGTGTACATGCACTTGTGCAACTAACAACATTTAGGAGGCAATGTTCGTGTATACAGCAATAATTCAATATAAAAGATGCAATATATTATTGAAGGACAGTTACTAATAACAGTTCTTATTACTAGTATTAGGTGAAAACAAACACTGGGTAATGTATATATAGTCCCATAATTTTTCGTGCTTGTCAATAATTAAGTTATAGGCACTTGGAGGGTTGTTAGACCACTCAGATGTCCAGGGCTCGAAATTCATTTTTGGGAATAGGTGCACTGGTGCACCCAGCCTAAAAAATTAGGTGCACTAAAATTATTTTGGGTGCACCATATAAAATGAAATAAGTATAATGTCAGCAAAAACTAGTATGTTTCATTTCTCAAGAAAAGTACTACAACAATAATTCTATTATTTTCTGATACTTGGATGTTAAGAATACGCTGTATACTAATACATTTAACATCTTTTTTATTCTTTACATACGGAAACCTAACAAAATATTTGGTTGCACTGGTGCACCCACAGAAAAAGATTGGGTACATAGCTCCAAATGGGTGCACTAAGGTGCACATGCACCCAGTATTTCCAGCCCTGGATGTCTGTTTGTTTTCTGTTCTGAGTTTTTGGGAAAACAGGAAGCAGGAATTTTAGAGCTGTGGCTCTTCAGACAATCAAATTCTGGATTCCGAATATCTATTTCAAAGCATAGGGAATATTGTAGATTCCTTGTTTACATGATTGCATGAATAAATGAATGAATATCTAGTATTACTACATTATTGCATCTCAGTGTTCTAGCCAGTATCCGTCTTTCTGTTATTTGATGAAATTTCGTCGTTCATGGTGGACACAAATTTTCCCCAATCTGTTGTCATTGACGGACAAAAATCGTCGTGTAAAGATGTGGAAAGAGATCATGTCATTGGATCAAGCTTAGTCTACCAGCAAAATTTGCCCTTCAAAATGCAGGAAATAACATTTCAGAGGGTCAAGATTTCAAAATCTGCTCTCGATATGTCACATTAAACAAAACTTTGATGATTAAGGTTGGCTACAACACTGTTGCACCTAGAAGAAAACTTCAGGAGATGGCATTTTATATAGGTAACTTAATATAAAAGGTGTACATAAGCGCTTTTTATACTTGAATGTGTTCTATATTTTTTTATAAAATAATATAATGGCATTAAAGGTTAGAAGCCAGATCTTTTATTATGGATGTTGAAAATTATCAAACTTCTTTTTCCAAAATAAAAATTGTTTGACGTATCATACCGGTAGTCAACAGTTTATGACATAATCTTCATTGTTTATTATTATCATTACTCATGATCTGACTATGCTTTTGGATATGTTGGGTTAAATAAAAGGACTGTTCAGGCTCTGAGCTATTTCATCATATTCCTGTTTGTCACTCTGCCAAATAAAACACGACTTGTCATGACGTGGCACCATCACGCTCTGAACTGTGACATGTTGGGTGTGTTAATGTCACTGCATATACAAAATTAATGATTGTAATCGTTGTGATAAAAATGTTAACACGCTACATGTAGTTTGTCAGAATGTAGAAGTCTAGCTTCCCATTGTACATTCACATTATACCGGTAGTACGCAAATATTTTTTCCAGTCTTAGTTGTGTACATGCTTTGTGTAGTACATGTATGAGTGGTTGATATTCAATTTTACAAAAGCATATCCAGTCTTCTGTAGTCTTGTATAATGGCCCAAATTTCTCATTTGAATTGAAGTGATAGTACAAAACAAACTTTGGAACAGAAGGTTTTAGTGCTAAGTGCTAGTGTCAGAACCGAAGTGAAAAAAAAGAAAGTGTACTAAGCTATTGTAGAAGGTGTACTGGTACTGGTAGCAGTTATTGAATGACCAAAGTACATATAGATAAGAATACAACACAGGGTATTCCGTATCGCCCGTACCAGCCCGACCGCGCGTTAGATCGCCTGCGGGAGGGCTGGGACCAAGGGTGATGGGGAATACACCGTATTGTATTTTATTCATGTCATACCCACCCAAGAAAACACGCCTTTCAATGCAAAATGAGCGAAAATTTGGTGTCCCTAAACCCCCAAACAATGCAACAACATCAATTCCAACGTCCGAATTTTGTATTCGAATTTTCGAAAGCCTTGCATGCGGTTATGGCGAAATGCGTTTGAATCGTTCTATGGAACATTTGGAAGCCCCGGGCTGTACGCGTAAAGAACCCCTGGGCCGTACTGCTAGTTATCACACGGGCCGGAACACCCGTATCGAAGGTAATCGCGGCCCAGGTATGACATAAATATCAGAATCACTGTTGTTTAACTTGAAGTGCTGTGAGCTCAGGAATTGAACCCCTAAGGCAGTTTTAGATATAGTTAGCAATTGTATTATCAGCCCGTTCATGTTAAAAACCCTTGTTTACTTGTACCAAATATACACATGTATAATGTGTATGTTGTTATGCCAAAGTGATGTATGTTTTAAACCCCCTTAGGCAGTTGTAATGTAGGTAGTAGTTATATATTATTAGACCAACTAAAGTACAGGTCACATGCCCAATTACACATCCTGCAAGAAGGGTATTTGTTAGATGATTGGATGGTTTGGAAATGATGTTACTCTCTGGAGTAGCTTCTTAGTTAAGATTGGATCTTTTATGATCTTTAATTTGGATTGTGGGGAGCCCAAGAAAGTAGTGACATATTTTGGTACAGGTGCAGTATGGGTATTGGTGATGCACGAATTTTAACTTAAGAAATCTATGTACTGTAGACCTGGTAGACTATATAGAAGTCTAAACTACTGTTTTAAGGTGTGGGAAGTAGACATCTGTGGCCAACTAGGTTGGGTTACCCACTGAGAGATGACATTATTTCTTTTTCTTTTTTTAGACTTTTGTGATCTGTAGTGATCCAACTTATGCAACACAGTTGAACAAAGTAAAACTTGCACGAGGACACTAATATTTTCAATGTCAAATTTTAATTCATTCAGGTGTCAGATCATGGAGCTAGAAAAGGTCGATCAGCAAAAAAATGTTTGTCCCTTACACTAAGTTACAGGGGTCCACACAAAAAAAGCCTAGGGTCGGCAGTTTTTCTAGGGTTGGTTGGGAAACAGGAAACGCAGATTGTAGGATTTTTCCTCTGCAATATTGTAAACCTCTCTGAAAAATGCAAAATAGGATGGGTATTGTGAACACTGAATATTTAACATAAAATTACAGCCAACGTACATCTCGTACAATAACCTCAATAAAAGACACTATGGAATTTATCTTGTCTTTTGTAGATTTTAGGATTATATATGAAGCAAACAATGCCCTGTTGCAATTGCTACCTACAACTGTAATAAACAATTTTTTTTGGAAATATCACCAAGAACAGCCACACCCCAAGTAGGCAGAGGTGTCCTTTTCAGACTATATCGTTGGCGAGGTTATCAGTCAGACAATTGTCTATGCAAGGTGGCAAGGTGGCCTTGTGGTTCGGTCGTTGACTTATTACTAGAATCTAAAGTAAAGCTAAAAAAAGGTTCAGGGTTCGAATCCACTGACTTGAGCTTGAGATCTTATGTTTGAAGAGACCCACACATCGGGCATGTTCAAGAACCCACCACACTTATGATTATATGACAATAGTAGGGATCCTTCCCAGTGTGAGTGGTTCAAACCTTACGGTCTGGTCTCAGGGTTGACATCTTGAAAAGTTGATAGTCCACAAATAAATAAATAGATAGAAAGTCTATTTTAGGAGGTAATGTTAGTGTTAGTCACATATGTTTGAGTATCATCATGATAGCACATTGATATCTTTATTGACAAGACAAGAGTACAAGGACATTTGTATGGTTAGGCCTAGGAAAACTAATGTTGTGTTTCTTATTATGGTCCTGAAAAAATTTGGGACAGTAGGTGGGGATTTGCTATGGAAGGTTTTTGGTGGTTTAGAACAAAAGAGGAATATGACATGAGACATGAATACTAGTTTTTTTTGCAAGTCAGGTACCGAATCAAGATATATATAGCTAGAGTTTCGTTTTTTGGACTTGAACTGAAATACTGAAACATTAGGTCCAGTTCTGATTTGGTCCAGTATACCGGTATGTACCACTTTGCCTGATCAAAAATTTTGTCTCTCGTCAACGACAAAAAAAAATGGCTATGGGAGGGGTGAGGGAAACACAACATTTTTTCCCTAGGCCTTATGATAGACATGACATGTGAGGCACTATCTGTCCTTCTCCCATGGGAACAATGACACCTGTTCTACACTCCCTTACTCACTACAATAATGTAATTATGCTACCCGCCAATCAACACGCTCCAAATGGACACAGCACAGTGGTGCCAACTAGGGCAGGCTGGATGTGGACTTTTGAGCCTTGGCGAAAAACCTGGAAAATAGGACGTTTGTTAATCATTAGTCTGTGTTTGGGGAAAAGTTGTACATAAGATATTCATGTTATGCATTGCTTTTCTCTGGGAAGTGGTCACTTTATGAATGAAATAATGATGGAAGCGATTGGTTTTTTTGTCTAGGATGAATTTGTAGTCTTTTGATCACTGCACTGTTGACTTCATCTTTTATCACAATTCTTAAAATTCTATTTCAATGCTTTTTTGACAATTTACCAACGTTACATCAACCAGATAGAAACATAAAGTATGAATATTGTACTTAATTAACGTAACAAACAAGAGTCATAAAGATATTTCAAGTTTGCTTTAAAAATTTTTGTTGTTTTGGTTTTGCAAAACCAGACAGTATAGACGGGTTTATTGAAATTCCGTCCGTTCCTAAAATTCTATGACCTTGGCCACTCTGGCATATTTTGGCAACACCTGTTGCATGCCCATAGGTTCAAAACAATTAATCATTTCTTTTTGTACTGCTATAAAAGGCTGCTTTAGAAAAGGAGAGGAAATGGCATGTTGTGGCAATATACATGATTGGGGCGAGGCATTCTGCTACGTGTTTTTATTTTGCAAGGATGTTGACATTATCATAAGGCCTAGGAAAAACAATGTTGTGTTTCTTGTTTAAGTCCAGAAAAAATAGGGTTGGTTGGATTCTCCTCTTGTTTTCTTCTTTTGTTTTTAAGTTTTTAGATTTAGGCTGAAGTAATCTATTAAATACAGTATAACAATGTAATTTTAATCGAATTGTCTCATTTTCTCAAGAAAAATTTGCTTCAGCAAATTGCTGAAATAATGTTTCAAAGGGTTTGTACATGTAATTCAGACACAGGGCTCGAAATACTGGGTGCATGTGCATATTCTAGTGCACCCAAAATTGGAGCTGTGCACCCAGTTTTTTTCTGTGGGTGCACTGGTGCACCCAAATATTTTCGTAGGTATTTTTGTACATATTAAATGTATAACTAAGTATACAGGATAGTCTTGGCATCTAAGTGTCAGAAAAATAAAATCTTTGTTGTAATACATGTTTAAGGTTTTGAAGTTAGCTCTCTTTTCAGATTCAAGCTTAGAAGAGGAGCAGTAAAATATGTAAATTCTAAATTTCATGAACTTGCCAGCAGTTGAATGAACCAGTAAGAAACCATAGTAAGGACATAGGTGTCCACGGAATATTTTTATCCTTAGGTGGATTGATCATTTGTTAATCACCCAAGGGAATTGCAATAATGTAGGTGCTCCACAGGTGTTATTGTTTCCCAGAAAATGCAAATGCTTATAAATTATTCATCCCAGAACCACTGATAAAGAAACACTCTAAACTATATATCTTGTACAGGAATGCAATGCAGAGTTATGTTGTTTGACTCTATAGTGATGGATATCATAATTTTTGTCACAAATGTGAAAGAAAGCTGCTTGAGGTTTGACTGCTGTATTTCCTAGCAGTGTGCCTCCTTGTAAAGAAGAAAATACTTTAGCCTTGAAGATAGAACAGTCAATAGGCATGTACCTGTAGTATACATAGTCATTTATGTTTTCTTGAATACCTACTTTAAAATGGTTATTTTAATGAAATTATAGATATGTCTCTGATGCCCTTAACATTGAGCTTATGGATTTTTCAATCATTACTCTCAGAAAAAAAAATACAAATTTAGCAGAACCAGGAAAAGAACAGCATAATGAAAAAAAAATATTGGACTTTCACCTTGTTGGATATAGTATGGATAATTTTCTTTTGTGACCTGGCATCCAGTCTGCTTTGTAAGGAACACTCACATGGCCTTGTTCTGAAAGCTTCTGAAACACAAAGAATACCTGCACTAAGCTGTGGTAATAGAAATAGAACATTAAAAATTTATAATAGGGTTGTGGGCAGAATACCTCAGGCTATATTAGTGACAATGGGTGAGATATGATCAAATGAAAATGGTTGACAAATGGCATGAACGTAGGAGGGATAAAGCATAAAAGATGATTAAAGCATAAAAGATGATTAAATTGTCATTGTGTATTACATGTATATAGTACAGTCAACTGGAACATAGCACCCAAATATGGGCAACATCGCTATTGAGGCCTTTCCAAGAATGTCTTGGATATCTGAAGTGTGCATTCCTCAGGAATTACTGATTGCTGTAGATTTTTTCAATTTATTCTGTAGAATTTATGATATTTCAAGGGTACCTGGCAGAATTACCAGCTTCTTGCAGACAATGCTGCCATTGTTGCTCTCACACAATACCTTGTTGATAAGCTCCCCCATGCTGTTTGCCTCTGAATGGCAGGTGTTTTAGTGACCTTCACAGTGGATAAGGACCATTGACTGCAGCTCTTTAGCTTCACTTAAAACCTGCTTGTTTTAGAGATAACAAAGATTTCCATCAGTTAGCATATTGTGAGTCAATTTTGAAAAATTCGTAGGACACACCTATTTATTTCATTAGTTTTCAGACATTCGAAAGTAAGATTTAAAAATAGAGCAAAATGAAAACATCTAGAAAATGGAGAATACCTTGAGTCTGTATCTAGATATATTCTGTCTAGATGTGTGGCAGTATGTGCACAAGACTTAAATACCCCCCAGAGACTTTCTTGTCAATCTTCACAAAAACATCATACAAGTTCATTGTATAATAGACAACACACCCACACGGTAAACAATGTAAAAATCATCTGACATTATCATGGTATTTCACATGTCAACATAGCACTTGTTTAAGTTTGTGTTCGTCAAGAATGTTGCTTTAAGACTTAGAGAGATGTAATTTTTTGTGTGAACTGTTTACAGTATTTTTGGTTTCTTATTAAGTATGCAAAACAATTTTTCTGACTATAAATGTGATTTTTATTTATTCACACACAATAGTTATCACTATCTTCAAAAAATTAAGTTGACCACACAAAAATCTCTGTACTTCTGTTGATCAAGTTTTGTGTTAAATATGATTTTACATACTTACCTAGACAACTTTACCTTTGCAGACCACCTGAAGACAGTTTCTGGGATCACAGAAAAATCCGGTTAAAGCCACCGTTACTGGACTTCGAAGAACAGTGAGTACTGTCCTTTATTTAATTCTGATGCCACAATTACACCATTATGCCAAAAGTTGTGTGAACTACACCAATAGTCATTTACCACTTGTCGTCACTGTTGCTGAACATAGTAGCTGGTATAGTCCAGTGGTTATAGTGACCTTGTCTCTGGACCAAGAGGTTGGGAGATCGAATCCCATCTGTTGTTGCTCACCCGACATGCATGCTACTGGGTTGCAGTCTGTAACATAGGATGGTTAAAACCATTATGCTTGACAGCATTATGTTGTGAAACATCTGACCTTTATCCAACTTTATTCATAAGTTATAGTACTTTCGATTTGTAATGTTAAACTACATTATTACAATTACAAGTGAAAAAGCTACAAATAGCATCAGATGACATTTTGGAGGTTGAAGTAAAAAGTAATCTGTAGCACTGAAAGACGTCTCTAACAGTACTCATAATTGAATGTCTCTGTTGTCATGTATTAGCTATTATTGTGATCTATGGTTGGAGGTTTTCAAAGGGTGATGGTTTGTAGGTTTAGTACAGTCAGCAGTGCCCCCTAGCAAAGTTGATTATAAATGCAGGTCAATTTTCCTAGGAAGTTATGTAGCAGTGCCACCTTTCTGTACAAGATGGCACTGCACCCTGTTACACTACTCACAAGTACATATGAGCATGGGAGTTAGAACTTCCTTGGTCTGAGAGATTGGACTCTTAGTTTGCTGTGTACCAATTTATTGCCTTGGTTCATGGATTTTGAAGTAAAAATTATGGACTAAAAACTGAAAATATGACTGACAAGGTGCAGACTTTCCCTTCAAACTGTGCTTTCATGTTGCTCTTCCAGTTCGGCATTGCACCTTTCAGATGTAAGAACCAACGCACTGAAGTAGTGTAGCCTATTATAAGCCTCAGTGTGTGGTGTAATACTAGGACTGTTTCTCAGTGTCAAGGTGATTTATCTCTCACATGACTGTCTGAATAAATTTTTTAGCTGGCACACCTAAAGAAGACACAGCCTTTTGATTTTACAGGAAAGATTTGAGGGCTTGAGTCTGTATTTATGATCCAAGAACCTGTACATTAAATTGGTAGGGCCTAAGCCTCAGCGTGTGGTATGTAATAGGCTATAGGACTGATTCAGGGTGTAGATTCGATTTATCACTGTCGAGACAGACCTTTAGAAATAGGACGCGGCCTTCACTCTACTTCACTCAACATTTAAGACTTGAAGAATCGGGCAGCATTTACCAGAAGTAGTTTCAGTACAATTGAATCTTCATTTGAGTACTGCTACTAACAACTGTGTCTGCACATTACTCTGTAATTACTCAACTTGTCACAAGACATTTTGTACCCTAGTATGGAACTGTATTGTATGTTCACCAAGAGCTGTGGTATACAATTTAATCCTCACTCAGATGCTTCTGTGAATATAATAAAGAAACAGTCTTAGGAAATATAGCCCTGTCAAACTGTTCTGCTTTTGAAACAAGAAAGACTGTTATCACGGTATGTGACGGATTGAATGGCTTATTTTTAAAAATAGAAGAGCCTATATTGCAGCTATAACTAGGATTACTTGTCTGTAACTGCCGGGCATAACATGTAACTATGTTGATGTCTTCATGCTGAGAAGTGATATTAGAGTTGTGCTTCCCGTGGGTCTATATAATTTGTGTTGACGTACGTGTGTGATTGTGGCAGGAATCATATACATGGTGGAGGAGATACATATCTAAGTTGATGCTGTGCTGAGATAGAAAAGATGGCAAGCACTTGGCAAGCGTTAATTGCTAATTTTAAAGGCTTGATAGCATTGTGCTATGTATCATGGCATTTGATGTAGTTTTCAGTACTAGTATTGAGGTTGGTAAAAGTTTTAGCTTAGTGCAAAGGGGAGGAAAGTAAAAAAAAACCTTGTGATCTCAGAATTGACCAGAAAATATTAAGTCATAGGCCGTCGTATGGTTTTGATGTCGTAAAAGTTTCAAGCTGGCTTTGACATTGTCTAAGTGATTATTATTAATGCTATCGTCACACGCCAGAATTTTACGACATTTAGTCATCGAATCGTACAACCAATGTCAATGTTTTGGCAGCCTTTCTTTTCTTGAAATATAAGCCGAATCCTCGGCCTGGCAGGTTATGAAACTGGATGAGGCTGAATAATTTTCAAGCAGAAGCAAGGACCAATAAAGATCAAAGACAGCCTTCTCGGTAACAAGACAGTTGAATCTTGCAGGTCACAATGCACCACTATCCCAAGAATGCCCTCAGTTAGCAACTCAGGACATAAGTGACCAGGCCTTTGGTAGGGAACGGTGTTGTCTTTTTGATTGCAAATGTAGTCTATAGATAAAGTAGCACTGTGGACAACGTACCATGCAGATCCAGAATTGGACTCCTGAGTGTATGCAAGTGCACAACTGAGATGAGAAGAAGGATGAGAGAAGAAGGACAACCAAGAGACATGATAATGTAGTGGTTATATTAGTAAGTACATGTTGGAGTCCATTCTGGCTAATGATAAATGGTATGACATAAAATACCCATCTTCAACCTACATTTTGCGGCCAAAAAGCTAAAATTGCGCCGAACAAATTTAGAAACCCATTTTCGTGGCCGGATGTACGTGGTGCTGTGAAGAAGCATTAAGCCCTCCCAGCATAGGCAGCATTCTGATGTCAGTACTAACGTCATCTAAAAAAGAGCTCACCCCGATTTATCATTGGCTCTTCCTAGTCTTAGAGTTAGAGTCAGACCTGCCTACCAGACATTCTAAAGTAAAAGTGAAATAGGAATCTAAGATGACAAGATTGGAATTAAATATAAGGGGTAGGAGGAAAATCAGAAGCTGATTACAACTATGTTTAATCTTGATCGTTCATCTGTGTTGTTAGACGTCATTATGCAGAAAGTTTAAACTGTAATTTCCAACACAAAGAATTTTACTCACCCAAATTTTTAACTTCTAAGAGAAGTCCCATCCAATTTGGTCATCATCTCCAAAAGCACCAATTTGTCATGTAAGTTATCTAAACTTGTGACCTTGCTGGCAGCATTACCAAATTGCTTGCAATTTTCTTGGTAGTATTCTGTTCCTCCGAATTGCTTTGCCTGGCTCTTGCGCAGACAGAGGGTTATTTCATGGCTTGATTGCTGGTAATCAGACAAAGGATTAAGGTCTTAAACGGTCGTTTACCTCCCACTTTCCCATCAAACTGAAACGACTGTTGTTCACTTTACTACTAAGACTATTGTAGTGACGTGATTCGATTCATAGGTGGTTTAAGGAAAAATGGCTCTGGGTAGCCCAAATCAGTATCAGTCTTGTGGTCCTTCAAAATTCTTTCAATTGGAATTTTACGTTTTTTTCGTAGTATTGGTATATGAGTTTTATTAAAATTTGCTTCTCTTTTGCCAAATTTCACCTTTGTTACACCTATGGCACTAATAGATTCTTGGTCTAAATTTCTGCATACATCTCAGACCTGATGATCTATACTGATGATGTGTTCTATTTTGATTGAAGCAGAATCTGATGTTTTTCAGGTTACGTTCCGCTTACGATACCTCAGCTCTGCTGCACTTCTGTCACCAGAGAGGCTCATTAAGTGCCCCCATATGTTATTTTCTGACAGAAAAAAAAGTACCAAGTCAGGTAGAAAGTGAAAATCCTTGCAGGGGAAATTGATGGCAATGGCCTCCCGGGAAGTTTTGCCAGATGACGTCAGTCAAGCGCCTTTTGCGTGATGTATCGCGGAACCATCTCGGTCAATTGCAGGGTGGCAAAAAGCTGTATTGATTGGAATGGCCGGCTTCCGCTTGGCACTTGGTGCCCGGTTATGTATGGTCTCATCAGCTTATTGTAATCCCCAAATGTCCAGAATGGTTGTAAGGTGATTTCACACGCCTGCCTAGCAGAGTAGGGATGTAAAATTCATCAGTATCGTGAATGATCCATGGCTTAATTTGGAGTTAAGAGGATGGATTATTGGCTAATCCGCGCATACTTCCACACCAGGTTTGATGTGTTGCTTCTAGCAAGATGTGACGGTCACGATATCGTGGCCTGTTTCATGGCTTCTTTGTTTCTGGCTTTCCAATAATAAATTTGTTTCCTGTCGTCTTTTTTTTAAACTAAATATTCAGCAAGCAGTTTAGATGAAAATTACGAACAAATGAATGAAAACCAAGCAGATGTCAGGAGGTGAAGACTGAAGGAAAAGTTATGCAATTTTTTACAGCACATAACCACCAATAAACTATTAAAAAGTATTTCTTCCCCATTAGAAAGAATTTCATGATACAAATTGCAATTACTCTAACTCTAAGTCCAGTCTTATTATTAGCATTACCGGTAGTCCAATTCAAGCCACCAAGTCACCAATTATTTGAGTCACACATTGTCATCACATGTACACTCACACCACCCAACCAGCTATTCCCATCTTGGTCCCTGGTCAGCTTTTTAAAAATCATTAAATTTTCTTGTCTAAATTTCTTTGGTAAAAAATTTGAGAACCAAGACATGGAATTTGTTCAGCCGAAACAATTATAGAAGAATGGATCGCAGGCTAAGTGTTTGAGAGCCGATGTTGTCTGTTGTAGACAGCTTGGACAGCAGATTGATTGTCCTCTCATATCCGATTGTCCTCTCATGTCCTCTCATATCCGATATACCATTGTGATAACGACACACAAATTAATTAGTAAAGATTACTGTCAGTTTCCCCTTTTTAACTGTTAAATTGAAAAATGTACAATCAGCCAGTTGCTGGCCATGGAGGTTCCAGGTATTCCAGGCAAAGTAAAGGATGGCATGGCTTGAAATGCTTTTTTTTTGCATGGTACAACATTGAAAATAACCTGCACCAGACAAAGTTTACCTGCACCACTCAGAATTTAAGTACGAAGTATGGATCCGACCAAAAACTGCTAGTCAGAATTATTTCTTTTAGTTTTACATTGTACACTTTATTATGGGTGGTAACAGTCAATGCAG